AGCCTCAGTCTCGAGGACATCTTAGGCTGTTTTGCCAGCTCTGGGTGAACCATACCCAGATCTCCTCCCTCCTACAGACTCTTTCCTGAGGAGAAATAACTTAAGATCTTAAGATGACCATCACCAAGTGTGTGTTACATCCGGTTGTGGCGGCGGGCCCTACGAGGTTGCACGCTGCTCTTAGGACTGGTGCCAACATCCGTCTGAGCCTTGGTCTTGCCTCTTTCTGAGCCTCACACTGCAACATCACAGTCTCTTGATGACCACGTCCTCGGCACACGAGCTCTCGTTCCATCCCGTCCTTCTGAACAGTCAGGTGCCACGTAATCACATTTCCGGCATCGAGGGAACCAAATACATGATGGTACAGTTCTTATTGTAAGGATGAAAAATTCTTATCATCCAGTAACATCGCAGCTGTTGTGTTAACACAACTCACTATGTGTTTGTGGCAACTCTGGTGTCAACAAATCCACTGCACTGTCAGTTGTATAAAAACACGCAAGTATGTCCCGTACGTAACAAGCGATGATGACAAATAGAGACTGTGTTAAAGTGTACTGCAAAGAGCATGCTGTCACGCCAGCAGCCACCTCTGTGCCTCCTTTGCTGTGTCATTTGACTATATCAAGAGGCTCCAGTGAGGCGGACGCGCCTTTAATCCCAGCTCTCGGGAGGCAGGGGCAGGCAGATCACTGAGTTAGAGGCCAACCTGGGCTACATAGGGAGTTCTGGACAGCCACGGCTACACAACGAGACGTTAGGTTTTTGGGGGGGGTTTTGTACATTTTTTTAAAAGAGGTCACAGCAAGTGCTTAACATGCACTAAGTTCTTTGGAGAGATGCCTGGAGGTTAAGGTCACCCACTGCTCTTCCAGGGGACCTAGGAAGAAGAAGGAGGAGGAGGAAGAGGAGGAGAAGAAGGAGAAGGAGGAGGAGGAGAAGAAGAAGAAATCACCTAACAGTGACGTCATCCAACACCACAGTGTCAGGACATGTCCCCTCGACTGTGTCTGCCCTCTGAGCTGTTGCACTGGCTGTTTCTTTTATCTGGTTTGCTCTTGCTTTTCCCCTTCTTCTTCCAACATGCTTCAGATCTTAGCTCAGCTGCCCCTAAGTCTGACAATCAAAGCGAAGATGCAGTCAGGCCAATATTCACTCCTACTCTTTTTCTTCATAGCACTTCTTATTGCTGTGTTTGCTAATATATGTTCTGTGCTTCTTTTTGTTTGTCTGTTGTTTGTTTGCTTTGAGACAGAGTACTGTGTAGCCCAGGCTATCCTCAAATTCCTATGGAGACAAGGATGACTGAACTGATGCTCTTCCTTTCTCTACGTCCTGTGTTCTGAGACTGTAGGCGGCACCATCATGCTGGGTTATCATGCTGTGGCTTTGGTTCTTGCCTCCCGTACAGGGCCATAAACTCCTTGAGGGATAAATTCATATCCATCTTGTATGCTATCATAAACACGGTGCATGCATGTAACAGAGTGTAGAGAGTCCTCATGGCTCAGGTCAGAGAGGCTAACCAAGAACCGGAGTCGGCATGGCTGGGAGAGCAGGATTTAGAGCCAGGCCTGTCTTCATTGTTCTAAGCCCACCAAGTCTTCCAATAACTTGGCTTCCCTTGTGCTATAGGGGAGAGATAGCCTTCCGGGTAAGCACAATCGTGCAGTCTACTTTGCATTTCTCAGTTAAAACTGTTGAGGGGGTGGGGGTTATAATGTGCAAGTTCCGCTTCCTGGGAAACTGAGCAAAATGAGGCAGCCTTCTTGAGTCTGACCAGCACAGGGGTGCTGAGTTATAAAACCGGGACCCAGACTCTCCCCTGGGCAGATTTACTGAGACAAGACCACTCATTAGAGCCCTTGAGCCTAGCATGAAGTCTCTCCAAGGTGATAACCCTGGGCGAAGGCCACCTTACAGATGTCTAATGGGTGCCTCCGGGGTTTCTATTGCTGTGAAAAGACACATAGCAACTCTTATAAAGGAAAGCATTTATTTGGGGGCTGATTTACAGTTTCAGAGGTTTAGTTCATTATCGGCACAGCGGGAAGCATGGCGGCACTCAGACAGACATGGTGCTGGAGCGTTAGCTCAGAGTTCTACATCTGGATCCACAGGCAGCGGGAAGAGACCGTGAGCCACTGGGCCTGGCTTGAGCTTCTGAGACCTCAAAGCCCACCCCCAGTGATACGTTTCCTCCAATAAGACCACACCTACTCCAATAAGGCCACACCTACTCCAATAAGGCCCTGTCTCCTAATAGTGCACTCTTTATGCCTATGGGGCCATTTTCTTTCAAACCACCACATGCAGTATGAGCTAGGACTTTTACTATGCATCCCACACTAGCCATTTGTCTATCCCGTCTATCCCACCTTGGGCCTGGGGTAGGAGACAGAAATCAGCCCTCCTCCACCTCACAGTACCTGTGATGCCCCAGCCTCAGGGAAACATAAGACCCAAGGCAAGATTTTCTTTCTGGAGAGGAAACTCAGAGAAGCAAGAGGCAGCTGCTGGATCCAAGTCATCCAAAGGGAGCATGTGATGGCACTGAGTTGCTGAGGCCATCAGACGTCCTGGTTACCATCTTCTCCTAAGACTGTCGTTCAAAGGGCTACCCATCCCATGAAGAACTAACTCTGCTCCTACCTGACACAGCCAGTTTCTGTTAAGCAAAGGCACAGATTAACCCCACACGCATGTTCTCACTAGACAGCAGGGTAAAGAACTTGGACGCCTTCATACCTCCCCAGGAAGTCACGGCTTGCTTCTGGAGTTTGATGTGAAGGTGACCCAGAGTGAAGCTCACTGAGACTCGTGTTCATACTTTAGGATGGGAAAGTCACTGGACACCTATCTTTAAATATATATATATATATATATTTATTCCACTGGAGGCTGGAGAGATGCCTCAACAATTCAGAGTGTTTGCTGCTCTTCCAAAGGATGCACGCTCAGTTCCCAGAACCCACATCAGGCAGCTCACAAGAGCCTGAGACTCCAGCTCCAAGGGACTCTGATGTCCTCTTCTGGCCTCCAAGGATACACATACACACACGTGGCACACACACACACATACACGTGACACACACACACAAATAATAAAAATAAATCTTTAGCTGTTTATCTTTATTACATTTAGTATGTGTGGAAGAGAGTCCAAAGAGAGCTCACAGGACTTTGCTCTCTCTTACCCTAGGTCATTAGGCTGGAAGCCATGCCCCTACCCACTGGGCAACCCTCCCATCCCTCGCGTGTTAAAGCCACTGGTGATAGTTCAGATTCTCTTCCCTTTCACAGGAGTGAAACGAGGAAACTTTCTGTGTGTATGCGGCTTGTAGCTACTGACATTCCTCAAAAACAAACCCAGGGGTCAGTTCTGCAGAACTGGAAATCCACCTACAGTGGAAACTCAGCCTCACCCAGTCACAGAAATCACCAGCACCTCGCCCAGTGGTGCTCAGAGTACATGAACACAAGCTGACAGGAGCCTTTCCTTCGTGCTCTGGCAGAAGGAGACGGCCTCCCTCTGCTCTGTCAGCAGAGTCTGCCCTCTGCAGCTGTAGGTACAGAGGCAGCATCACGTGAGGAAAAGAAGAAACTGTGCCCAGAAGCCGCTGGGTAGAAGAAAGAAAACATGCTGTTCAAATCAGCGGAAACTTAGGAAATGTTGCTCAGCAAGATGAGCAGAGCAGAATTCTGGTTCAGGTCTTATTTACTGATACACACACTCACCAGAGAATCTCTATTCTGTGTAGAACTTCACAGACCTGATAATTCTTCCCATTTTAGAGGGGCCTGAATAGCACAAATCTGGACCAAATGTTGGTCTATGCTAGATTATATTAAAGACCAAGAGAGCTGGCGGCAGTCATGTGGACCTACAGTCCCAGTGACTCAGGAGGCTGGGATGAGAGAATCGTCTGAGCACAGGAGTTGGGACCAAGTTGGGAAACATAGCAAGGCCCTCATACATGCTCTTAACAAAACACAAAGACCAACACAACACAAGAGGCAGGAATCCCAAGCGCTCGGGAGACAAAAACGTTTTATTTATTGGGTCCCTGGCATGCCTCCAACCCCACTGGCCTCTGCCTTCAGGGAGGACGAAGGAGATGGAACTCCCCCTGGCTGAGAAGCGGGTGAGGCTCCGCTGGCTTCCCCTGGGTACTGGCCGGCAGGGTTACACCCTGACCTCAGTAGTGGAGAAGCTGAGCTAGGTGGGTGTAGGACTTGGGTGTAGGAACCAGACTTGGAGCTGTGTGGTTCAGCAATAGCCGGGTCCTAGGAATGGGAAAGGCCCGGCAGCCCCCAAGTGTTACCTAGTGTTTATTGTGACTAAAGACTTCGGTTGGACCAACAGTCCGGTCTCAAGCTGCCAAGGTAAAAGATCTTTGTCCAGATCTTCCCTGAAGAGAAAGAGGCAAAGACTGAAAGCCTCTTTGAAGGAAGTCCTTATTCTTGCTATGTGCGTGCTGTGAGACTTCCTCCCAGAGACCTGTGTTACATCTGTGATCTGTAGAAGGAGGAGGGGATCAGCCGTTTCCACAGATGCTTTACTGCAACATATGATCTACCCACATGTGCACACAGGCGTGCTTGTGTTGTCGGAGATGAGTAATGCGTGACTTGAAAGTGCAAGCAGTTTTTGACGGATCGATTTAGAAGACTGCCGGCTCTGGGTTGAGCCTACAGCGAGTCAAAGGTCTCCAGCTGGGATATAACTGGTTCTGCCACCAGGTTGCCAGATCCAACCGGTACTTGAAATGTCTATCTGTGGCACACTGGGGAGTTGCATGGAGCCCGTGGTAGTGCTAGAGAGCTCGCGGTGAAAAGTACGGTAGGAGAGTCCTGAATTTGAAACCAAATGATGCTCTGGCCAACAAGTAATTATTACCCTTCTGGGAAACTCTGACTGGCCTCTAGGTCCCCAAGGAAGATACTCTTCCTCAAAGATAGAGTAAAGGCTCAACTGAAAGCCAAGGCAGCCGCCGGCCATTCAGGGTCCTTATACCCTGAGCAATGAGTGAAAAGAGGCTATGGACACAGCCAGCAGGAACTCTATACGGGAAAGTAAACTTGCCACATCACACAGGGTATGGCTAGAGACGAAGCTGCGGATTCCTGGAGTGCTTCTACACCGCCGTGTCACACAGGCAAGACTCCTGAGGGGCCAGACTTGAGAACTGAGCCCAAGAGGCCAAAATCCAGAAGGTTCTATAATTTTGGTTGAATTCAGTTGGCCTTACCAGTTAGATCACAGAGTCCAGAATTTCAAGGTGGGGTCATGATGAAACTGAAAAGCCATAGCTAGTGGCACTTGCCTTTGGCACTTGGCAGCTGCTTCATTACCCTTAGACTTAGCAGTTGGGTATTGGCTATGTAGCAGGGAATTTGATTTGGGCCGATGCGGGAGTCTAAACAGAACACATTTGAAGAAATGCTGTGTCTGTATCAGGGTGTATCTCTCAGCTTTGCCCACCAAATCCTTCCTGTCCTTCTATTCTCCATTCCTCTGGGAAAAGCCATGGTCCTTGTGCTCCGGGGCTGGGGGAAGGGGATCAGGAGCTCAGAGCAGCCTCTCCACTATTACATACCATGAGTCTGAAGTTAGGCCGGGATGTTTGAGACGCTGTTTCAAAAGTAATCCCCAGCTGTTGGGATACTGCCTCTCTCACACGGCATGAGTCCCTGAGCCCCAGGCCAGACGGTCTTGGCTGGCATTTGAATTTTGGTGGAGGGCCTGCTGGGAGTAATGGCAACAGCTACTGGGAGCTGCTTTCCCAAGGCTAACTGTTCAACTATTCTTTGGGTTCTCTGAGTGAGCTACCCTAACATCCTTCTCATGAAACCATTTTCTTGATTAAGTTGGTCCAAGTTATAATTTCTGTTGCCTAAAATCCACATCCTCGAAGATACACATTCTCTCCCTGACTGATGCACATTGCCTTTCAAAAGCTGCCAGTGTGGGCTCTAGCATACGGTAGGCGCTTAGTACATGCTGGCTGAATAAATGAACGCATGAGCAATGGCTCAGCTTTCACTGGATATGCCGATATGCAGGCTGGAAGAATTGGGGGGTGAGACAAGAAGAAAAAGTGGGGAGTCGCCTGAGCAGAGAGGAGGTAGAGAAGTTGCACGTAATCTAAGGGAGGGGGGCCTGTCAGTCAAGGCAAGGCCCTGGGCAGGGCAGGGTAGAATGGAGCAGGCCATGAGCACTTGCTGAGGAGGAGGAAAGGCAGAGGCCGTGCTGCTGGGCTCCTCTTACTGTTGTGGCTGCGGCAGAGATGAGGGAGTTTCTGCTGAGCCCCTAGCTCTGCTCTTCCCTCTTGGGTCTCTTTGGCAAGTTGAGGGCTCAATTCCAAAGGGATTGAGTTCCCAGACAGCCCGCTGCAGGGCAGGAGCTGTCAGCTCAGTCGCACTATAGCACTGACTACCCAGCTGTGGCCACAGACAACTGAGACAGGAATCAAAATGAGATCCATTTTGCCCCAGGCCCAGGGACTACAGAGAGCCTGCTTGACCTTTCTTAACCGATAATCACACCAGGTGAGGGCAACAAACAGGACACACGGTTTGCTGCCTTTATTGCGTAACAAGGGGAGCAGGCTAGCTCCAGACCTACCCATCCCAGGTCTGAAGGAGGGGTGTCTAGGAAGGACCCAGGGTGCTGGACCCAGCACAGAAATCTCCTGGGAACCTGCATCTGAGCATCTGGGGCTGAGCCCCAGGATCAAGAGCAAACGGCTGGAGGTAGGCACAGGAGCGTCCTTCTTCACCCAAGCTCACGAACGCATCGCAACCCTCCGGCACACCCTGGGTCCCCCGCCCTCATGACGAAGAGTCCCAGTCCTCCACTCCTTCAGGATGGAGATGTGCTATTTGCTGCAACCCCACTCCTTTCAGAACAGAGCACAAGGCCTCTCCAAGTCAAGGCTGTCCCTCTGCCCACAGCGGTTCGCAGGTCCTCATGCCACCTCCCTCCTCGTGAGCAAAGAACCTGAGAGAACCAGGGGAGGGGACGGTCGGGTGGAGTGATGCTAGAGAGGCTGTTCCTCACCCAGACATAAGAGGGTAGGCTTCACCATCAAGATGGAAGGGGTCCTTGGACAAAGGGATACGCAAAAGCTAGTGGAGGGCAGGCAGTGGACGAAGTCGGATTCAAAGTCTGGGATGTGAGTGTGCGCAAGGAAGCATGGGAAACAAGGAAGTGTCAGAGTGACAAGACCAGGCATCATCAAACAACAACAACAACAACAAAACACTGCTCAAAGACACGATGTGCTCCAGGAGGGCCCTGGGTCCCATCTGGACTGAGGACAGGTTAGTGGCTCTGATGAATGAGGCAAAGAAGCTGAAAGGAGATGAAAACCCTGAGAGTCACCAGGCTAGACCCCACAGGAAGTCTAGTGGCCTGAGGACAGTGGGAGAGCCAGGAGAAGCAGGGGTGAGAAGGTAAACGCGGGCCCGCAGGCCCCAGCGTGCAGCATTCGCTCGTGTAGTGGCTGGGGAAAGAGGTCAGAGTGCAGAACTCATGCAGAGGACTCATGCAGAGGAGCCTCCGGCAGTGGCAAGTGTAAACTTCAATGAGGGCCTAGGCCACCAGGCACTTGGAGGTGGGCCCCACTTGAGGCCTGGGAGCCCTGGGTGACAATGACGCTAGGAGAGGCCAACAGGTCATGTACCATGCCCAGAGCCTTCCAGTGAGGTGAAACTACTCAGAGAGGTCCCCAAGAGGTGCCTCCTTTGGGCACCTACTCTGGTTAGTCCTGAATTGAAAACGTCTCCATCTGATTCAAGCTGCTTCCTGGTTGGTCTACTCTTGGATAGAGGCCCCCAGCCTCCTGTTGGGGCTACCGCATGCCCTGGGCCTTAGAGCTTCCCTCTTGGGCAGGGGGCTGTCCCAATAACTGAACAGTGACTGCCTGGGAGGCCTGAGGTGTGGCCTTGGAGCTTGGAGCACTCTTCCGTGTGCCCTGGGGACTGGGAAGGCCTTTCTTCTGGGGCTGGGGACTCAGCTGGGAGCCTTTCCTGCCGGCAGATGGACTCTTGGAGCCTTTGGCCTTGGCTGCAGGGTGGGCAGCCTCAGGGCCCCTGAGGGGTTTCAGCCCCAGCATCTCACAGTAGGTGTTGCACTGGTGGGAAGAGGCAAACTGGTCCAGCAGGGCAGGGAAACAGCTCTCCTTGAGGCCTTGATATCTGCAGCCAAACATAAGAGCTGAGCAGGCCCATATGGCTTCGGGATGGCTGACATCAGAGTGTTGTGTGAGACAAAATGCTTCCCAGAATGCTGCCTCGGGTGGCTCCCTCCCAGCCTCAGATTTTGAGCAGGTTCATTATGCCCCGACACATCAGATGGGCCGTTCTTTTCCATGTAAATTGCTATAATCTGCCCCACCCTACCCGCCCCCCCCCCCCCAGATCCATTGCAGCTGTGTGGCTTCGGGACCCTCGAACATCTGTATCCTGTAGTCTTCTCAGAGAGGAAGAGGGCCAGGATTACAGGAAGCCTCTTGTGTGGGCATTATGGTCAGGGTGTTGGGGAAGGGAGGATCAGTGTCCCCATGTGTCACCTGTTACCGAATAGCCACAGGGTCACCTGACTGGGATTATGTAGCTCCTGGCCCAGGACCTCAGAGTTGGAGAGTCATTAGGAGCTGGGATGCCCTGAGAAGGCTCTCTTAGACATTCTGTCCCCAAGAACCACTCACCCTCGGAGTTTGGTAGCAATCTGTACATCAGTCATCTTCCAGTCAGCCCCTGGGGAGAAGAAGTAGGGGTTGATGCCAGCCTGGCAGCTTCTAAGGTCCTTCGTCTCCAGCAGGCTGTCTCCTCAGGGAGGAGCTTACCGGAGCCGACTATGCAAGCCTGCCTTCATAGGTCAGGCCAGTCTGCACACTGGGCTCTGGACTCAAACCTTCCCCTTCCTCTTAACAGGGTAGCCATCCAACCAGGAAAGAGACGTGAGAATGAGACCCGGCAGAAACACAGCAGCAGATAAGGCAGGCTTCACACGCTCACAAGGACAGCACCCGCTCTAAGAAAGCAGGGGTCTTCCAGGTAAAGGCAGCCTTGGGGAACACAGCCTGGCACAATGCGGGCAGGGGAAAAGTCTCACACCCAGGTCCGTCCATCCGGGTCTCAGCATTCAGGTTCCGGCCTATGATCCTCTCTTCCCATTTCTAACCCAAGCATCTCTCTAGGGAGTTGCCTTTCCCTCACAGGCTGGGGATGGCCATGTGACAGGGTGGAGCACAGGGGCCTTGGAGTCAGGCAGATCTAGAGTTCCATTTCAACTCTATCTTTCCTGAGCTGTGTGAATTTAATGAGCCGTTTCCTATCTAACCCTCAGCTGTAGAGGAGAGGACAACAGTGCCCAGTGCCGTCCTGTGGACATTAAGATGTCCCCAGGCGGAGGACTCTACCTTCGAGTTTTTTATCTTCAGCATTTTTTTATCGCATTCCACTTTATGTCATATGAATGACCCCTTGCGTATGCACGAGGCTTGCAAAAGGCCTTCCCAAATGCACGGTCTTCATGCTCATCACAGGTCCGAGGAGTATGGAGACACCATACCCTCAGAAGACAATCACAGCCCAGAGAGAGTCAACGGCTTGAGCTGCCTGAGCTTGGCTTCCCCTCAGATTGCTTTGGTGTTTGTTGTTTTTGTTGCTTACGAGAGGGTCTTGCTATGTAGCTCAGGCTAATTTCCTGGCTCAGTTTCCCAAGGGCTAGGATGAGAGATGTGTGCTGTGTTTTAAATATATTGAATGATAATGGCTTGGTCTATCAGCTAGCTCCTCATGCACACGCACGCGCACACACACACACACACACACACACACACACACACAAACACACACACACATACTTCTCAGGTAGCCAAGGATAACTTCAAATCCACTATGTAGCCAAGGATAACCACAAACTCCTGATCTTTCTGTCTCTACTTCCAGCCTGTCTGTATTGGAGATGGAGTCTCACTTGCTGCCCAGGCTGGCTGCAAAGTCGAGGTTCCCCTGCTTTGGCTTCAGGATTCCAGGACCTTAAGCATGTGACACCATGGATATCAATAAAGCTTTCTGCGCTGTGGTAGCAGAGAGTTTGGGAGGTTTGGGGAGCGAGAAAGTCAAAAGGAAGACAGCATGGGACAAAGTTGTCAGAAAGCTGGCTGGGAACTTTGAATTAGATCCCATTTTTAAACGGTAAGCGGCTTGAACTGCGCTCCCTGAAATGCGCCTGGAACAGGGTGCCACTGGGTACACCTGTAATCTCAGCACTTGGAGACAGGAGACCAGTTTACCTATCAAGTTCCAGGCCAGCCCGGCCTGTGCAGAAAGACCTGTCCTAAGAACATAAAACTATTTTATATAACTTTGCATAATAAAAAACATATATAAAACAAAAAAAAAATGTTTTCAGTGTTAGGTGGGTCTGGACTCCCTCAGGTGTAACTGCGGTTACTAACTGGCTGCCCGAGGCTGCACACAAAAAAGCATCTGCCCAATCAGAGTCATGAAATCCTTGTGAAACGCAAAGGAGCATGAATGCTTTGTGAGCTAGCAGGCTTGCTGCGCGCTCTGCCTTCTCCGCACTCGGTCACGCCATGCGCCTGCGCATTCTCCGCCCTCATACCTGCTAAATCTGTGACGAGGAAGCTGCCATTTGTCCACTGATACAGCCAGTGCTGGAAGGTCTGGCATTTCTGCATGGCCTCGGAGCTGCTCGGTGTTGCCGGGGCACCAGCACAGCCCCATTGCCGGGAGCAGTAAGACTGCAGGGGCTTGCCCAGGTCTTCCTCCAGGGTGGCGTATGGTATGGTGTTTGCAGGCCGGTAGATCAAATACAGTGGGATGATCCTAAAGACAGTGGCACCCAGCAGTAAGCCCGGAGAGGGGCTGGGACAGCTTCCTCCTGCCCTGCTCACTCTTTACCTAAGAGACCTTCCTGGAAAGAGTTCTCAGCTCTGAGTATGAAGGACTTTAGAGTCGAGCCCGTTTCTCTTGGGTCAGTCAGTAGGACTAAAATTAAAGCCTGTTACGACCCCGGGCAGCCTGTATATGGGTGAGGGCTGAGGAAAAGTATGTGCAAATAGAAAGGACCCTGGCAGGAAGGATTCAAGGGATGTCAGCCAAGGCTTGTCGCCAGCAGGAGGCCAGATGCACAAGAGGCATCTGCAGCTCATGCCAAAAGTCCACCCTGACCACCCTGCCCACCTGCCACATTGGAATCTTTCCCAGCTGCCCAGTGAATCCACCCTTCCCCTTTCTCCAGAGCCCGGAACCTGCTGTTGAAGTTCTGCCACAGGCAATGCAGTATCCAAACGCAGGATCACCAAGCTGAGTGTGGGGTGGCTGTGAAGCCATCGGTACCTGCTTGGGACTCAGGAGGACCCTGGGAGGGCATGAAATCACTGTCTTTAAATGGGCCCCCCTTTGGTACACTTACTCAGGCACCTCCCCGAAGCCAGAGGCTGCCCGAGCTTCAGCGGCAAAGATTTTGCAGTACTCTCGACTCATGTTCTGGATCTTGCATCCCTTTGGATTAGAAGATAAAAACAAATCTCGTCAAAAAGGAAGCTCCCCAGTTTGTGTGGTGTGAATGATCTCCTGCCAGTGGGCTACAGGGAAAACTCCAGGCCTGGTGAGAGCAGGGCTCACTGCTTCAAGCTTTCTTCTTTGTGCCTAGTTTTCCCTTCTGAATAACAATGGGATGTGGGCTTTTTGTCAAACTGAGGTTTTCGAAGTGGTTTCTCAGCTGGATTTGCTGGAGCCTTCATGCCAGGGGACGATGCCCCAGGGACCCCACTGCGGAGCACGGGGGCAGACCCCACCCACCTTACTCCCTTAGACTTCACATAATAAGACTTCAGTGAGATTGGATTTGAAGCTGGGGGAAGGCTTCTGCTACGAAGCTGATAATCTGGGGACTGGAGTGATGGATCAGTAGTTGACTGGTCTTCCAGAGGACCTAGGTTTGATTTCCAGACTCACATGGCAACTCCTAGCCAGGCTCAAGGGGTCTGACACTGTTTTCTTGGTCACACACACAAACACACACACACAAAACTCAAACATTAAAATAAATTCATTGGGTGTGGTAGCACATTCCTTTAGTTTCAACATTCAGGAGGCAGGGACAGGTGGATCTCTTCGAGTTTAAGATCAGCCTGGTCTACACAGCAAGTTCTAGGCCAGCTAGCACTACCTAGAAAAACCCTGTCTCAAAAAAACAACTATAGATAAATAGATAGATAGATAGATAGATAGATAGATAGATAGATAGATAGATAGATGTGTGTGTTTGTGTGATTTAGGGATTTAGGGACTGAGTAAAAGGCTCAGTGGGTAAGAGCATTTGTTGCACAAGTGTGAAGAACTGAGTTCAGATCCCAAGGACCCATGCAAAAAGTCAGCTTTGGCTATGTGCAATTCTGCACCTGGGTTGCTAGGACTTCCTGGCTGCCAGCCTAGCTGCAGGTTTACTAAGAGACCTTGTTTCAAGTAAACAAAGCAGGGAGTGATAGAACAGGGTACGCAGCGTTCTTCTGCATGGGCATACACACACACACACACACACACACACACACACACACACACACACACAGGAAAATGTGAAAAGTAGGTTCCAAATGGTTCCGAGACTCTCAAGTTCTCTGAGGCCAAAGGTCTGGATTCACAGTTACACTCAGCCAGTCCTTGAAGCCCTCCCCTAGAAGCCTCATGAGCTTGAAACAGAGGTGGCTTTTATCTCTGCCTGGAGCTTCCAAGAGAACCCAGGCTGGGGAAGGGAAGGATGTAGCAGGAAGGGACTCAAGGTGGGGAGGAGGGTGGGATGGTACCTGGATAGTGATGTCATAGTTTCTGCCCAGAAGAGAAGTCTCACTGCTGGGTCCAAACACAAGCAGGCTGGATACCTTGATGACACACGTGCGGCCGGATTCGAAGATGGGTTCCAGCCCGTAGATGACCTTGGCCTGGGAAGCCTTCTGAAGGCCGTGTCCACCCCCTCGCAGCTCCTCGCTCACCAATCGCCCAAAAAGCTTGTCCCCCCAGCAGCCAGAGTCAGCCAGACCCTTAGCAAACACCATGGGGGTCATCTCAATCTCTTCTCCAACTGAGGGGGAACAGGACAAACAGGGAAGCTGGCATCTCCCGCCTGACGTAGGGTCCACAGGGAAGGAGAGGGCTCCAATGGTCCCCATGCTCCCCATCTGCTGCATCCACTGTTTAATCTGTGATTGTCCCTAGGATGCAAAACTGTGCGTGCCCTGTCAAACTTTAGGGTGCTTGGGACAGAAGCTATCTGATTCGACTCCTGCCCCTTAACAGGGTCCCTGCGGTACCCATCGCACTGTGAGTGTGTGGCCTGCAGAGGCTGGTCTCTTCTGTGGCATTTGCAGTCAGCACAGATGGCCAGAATCACCTCGCGCAGTTAAGTGTTTTGAACAAATAAAATCAATGACTTTATTTCAAGCAACATTTTTGATGAAAAAAAAAAAAAGGTTTGCAGGACTAATTCAATAGCGGTAAGAACCCGCTGGTACTGGGTATGGCAATGAGGCACCATTTCCCACTAAAAGGAAGCAGGGTTCCCTGAAGCAATGATCGGACTCAAGGCTCAACAGGAAGTGCCTCCAGAAAACAAGGAAGTGACCATGGACTCCTGGGAAGCCAGGCCTTGGAGCCAGGCCTTTCTTCCTAGGTACTTGGAGGCTGAGGCAGGACCGCAGGGTCCAGGCCTGCCTGGGCTACTGCGGGTGAACTTGAGGCCAGTGTAGGCAACTTACTGAGACTCTGTCTCATAATAGAAGGTAAGAAAAGGGGGTCAGAGACACAGCTCAGTAAGCTGAGCATATGCTGGCCCTGGGTTCAACCCCTACCTCTGTAAAGACAAACCAACAATGCAAACTATGGAAGAGTTGTCAAAAGAGCGTAAGAACTAGTCAAAGGGTTTTTTGTTTTGTTTTGTTTTGTTTTTTGGCCAAAACTGAAGCAATTTTAGCAACAAAGAGAAAAATTGGTGTAAGGTACTGAACATATCAAATATGTTAAAAACCCCACTAGTTCATAATGGTAATTGAAACAAACGAACAAACATACAAACAAAAATCCTCCCAGTGTCCCTAGAAAAAGAAACAAGTCTCACTAGACCCCCTGGAGGCTTCCCAGAGATGAACTCATAATTCTGAAACTAGTAGGTGCAGGGAAAAGCAATCAGGAAGCCTTCATCTTCCCTCAGAGGTTTGTATCTCGGCAACCAATGGCCAGTTCTTTTCAAATGATGGATAAAGATGGGTGACGGGATTTCAAACCATGTTATAACTCCCAAAGAGATGACGGACTCGGGAAAATCGGTGACCACTAAGTCAGCCCACAGGACAAAGTGGGGTTGCTGGAGCCAGCGCACAGCGCACAGTCAGCATTACCAAAGGGGAAGGGAACCGCCATTTCTGCGGTGGATGAGAAGGAAAGGAACAGCACTCCTGTGCTCCGCCGCTTTCATTTGGTCTTGTTCGGGGAGACAATGGCTCATTATACAGCCCCGGCAAACCTCGAATTCATACTCCTCCTTCCTCAGCCTCCTACAGGCTATAGCCGTGGGCATGTAACAACACTACATCTAGTTTGTTGACTATTCTTGCCAAAAACAGAAACAAAAAACAAAAGCATTACCCCTGACTCTGACACGACTTTCTAGTCTGATTATCAATTTAGAAGAAGCATATAGATGGAAGAATTTGGTGTATGAGGATAGAATGAACAAAATCTAGACGATGAGGAATTCTGCAGGGGTTGGGGAGACTGATGGCTCAGTCCTTTAAATACTTGTCACTAAAGCATGTGGGCCTGACTCCCATCTCAGTCGTGGTACACGGTTGTAAATTCTAGCACTGTGGGACAGAGACAGGAGGGTGCTAGGGTTTGCTGGCTAGCCAAACCGGAGAGACCCAGTGAGTGTGCTTGTCTTAAAAACAGCAATCCTCCGGAGGAGCAATACTCAGAGTTGATCACTAGCATCTATACACATAGGTACAAGTACATACTCACATATAAACACACACAGACAATTCTGTGTTTCAGGTGACTTCAACAAACGAATGGCGAGAGAGAACACAAATGAGGGGCAGGAACACTGACATATTAGACAAGACAAGAGATGTATCAGCCAAATGAATTAGTGGCTCCTGATTCAAACCAACACATGGACACAACTGAGGAAATAGGACATTTGATGATATTAAAGAATTCCTAGTGAATTCTTGACAGGGTTGATGGTTTTGGTTTCTTTTATTTTGCTACTGCTGAGACCAGCTCTCATTCTGTCGTCTAGGATGGATTGGAAATCACTGCGCAGATCAGGTTGTCCCAAAATTTATGATAATTCTTTAGGCTCTGGCTCAAAGTGCTGGGATTACAGTAACCACCAGGCCTAGCCCAGATATGGGTATATATATGATAGAAATTAAATGTTACTTGACAACAGAACAAAGTCTGTACAGCAGACTCTCCAAACCTTTGAAGTCAAACCCTTGAAGCGCTTGTCAGATTTTGGGGGTTCCCAGGCATGATGATACCCACCTTCGGCACTTAGGCAGTAGGGCAGGTGAGTCCAAGACCAGCCTATCTGCGGAATGAGTTCTGGGACGGCCAGAGCTACACGGTGAAATGCTAACTCAAAACCAACAACTGACCTGACGGTGTCTCTCACAGTCACCAAAGAGTGTCAAAACATGCCAAATTTCCAAGTCTTTCCTAGACAGTCAGGACGCTTGAAGAAGGGGCTGAGAAGCTGTGCTACCTGAGACTCTAATGCCAAAGTCCACAGGGCACTGTGGGAAACCCTGGGTGCCTTGGTAGCCGTCCTGCCCTTGAAGGACTCTGAGGGGAGCAGAGGGTGCATTAACTCCTGCCAAGTGCTGCCCCCCACCGCCCATCTTCCTCCACAGTCTTTAAAACATCAGACCTTCCTCCCCAGCCCGCCCGCCCGCCACAAAGCCATATCTTAAACTGGGAGGCAAAGGGCAGCAGCGTGCACATTTAAGAAGGGTTGAAAGCCCCTAAGGACAGAAACCCTGCAGAGGGCGGGGCTGGGAGTGGAGGCCCGCCCTCCTACCCAGAGGGGCAACGTACCTTCCCCTTCCTCTCTGGAGACGAAGCCAGACAACACTATGTGGAGAAGAAGAGAACACTGCTGTGCTCAGGCTGTCTGTCCAGGCAGAGTATCAGCCCTGCACAGCACAGTGCTGCCACCCACAAAGCCAGGGGAGATCCCAGCGGCAGGACACTCACCCTCCGGGCTGAGGCAGAAGTCAGTGGAGGCTGAGCCATGCTCGTTCTGGATGGTACAGCGATACACACCACAGTCTACGGGAGATGCCTGCACGATGGCCAAGGCTGCCGGCCCCTCGTCCCCTGCACTGCAGAGAGCAGAGACCCTTCTCATGAGGGTCATCACCATGATAACAGGGTCTTCCACCCAACTCTCACAGGATGCTGGGGACCCAGGCTCTGGGAGCCCTGGGGAGGTGGTGAGAGGTTCCAGGCTCAGAAACTGGTCCTCAGTCACACAGGTGACACTTACTCGCTGTGCGACTTGGGACCCATGACTTAAGACCTCTACGCTTCAATTTTCTGATCTCCACATGAAATAACAGACTCACTCGCTGGGGCTGTTGTGAGGAGGAAGTGAGGGGACGGCTTCAAAACGTCAGGACAATGCCCGACGTGACTGTGATTGGGAAGCCCAGCCAGGAGATGGTGGTACCCAGATGGCTTACCTCCTGCTCACCTCGCCCACTGGCTGCTGATCCTTCACCCACGTCAAGACTGAGTCACTAACAATGTTGAAAAACTGGCACCAGAGCTTCAGACTGCCAGAAGAATCTGGAAACTGCTCCACCCGAATTTTCCGGATAACCTGTGGGGCTGAGAACAGGAGATCCATCACGAAAGAGAAGCTGCATCCCCGCCACCCTGCGCCCGCTCTGGCCACACCCTTGCATCCCCAGGTATCGTTGGAGAACAGGCTGAGGGCAAACAGCACGTCATAGCCCTGGCTACCTCCTGAGACTCACTCTGACCCCAGCCCAGGCAGGGACTCCAAGCTTAGCATACCAACAGCGGCAGGCAGTCAAGAAGGGTTTTCGCATTCTGTTACTGCCTCTAAAAACTGCTTTTGACCATGGGTAACCACAGGAGAGTCTATAAAGGGGGTGGGGACAGTGATGGTGGAACTAGGATGCTAGTCTTGTGCTGTTGTACCACTTGTTTGCTTGCTTTGTTCTTGTTGTTTGGTTTTCAGACAGGGTCCCCCTGTGTAGCCCAGGCTGACCTTTCAAGGAGAAGTGAAAGTTCTCCTTGCCTTGACTCTGGAGCCCCCCCACACTAGCTCACTTGGCAGTTGGTCTCTCCCCTCAAAACACCAGGGCTGCTACCTCTGTCATGCCACGTTGCGTGCCTGGCAAGCACCAGGCCTTTCTGACAGCTCATGAGGTGCTGTTGCCAAGGAAACCTGCTGTTCTCTGGCAGGGAGGTGCCCTACCTCACGGGGTAGTGCTGGGAATGGGAGTGTCGTGGTCACCACAGCTTCCTGGCAGCCCTCTCCTCCCAGCACTCACCTTTTAGCAGGTCTTTGGCTTTCCTTGGCTTGGCCAGAGCTTCCTGCTTGCCTTCATTCGAGGCAGGCTCTGAGTCCAGCCCACTGGCATTGGGTCTGGAGCCCAGGTCTCCTGTTGCAGGCTCGTCCTCTGTCCCGGGCACCTCTAACATGCTGGTCTTTCGGGCCTGGGTAGGGGAACGTCTCTCCCACTCTGGAGTCCCTGGGGACCCGGGTGCCAGGCCCTTCCTGGGTCCCCGGGGGGAGACTGTGGGGCTCTCCCTTTCTTCAGTCTTGTTCGCCTCTCCATCTGACGCCGCTCTGACCTTAGGGAGGAACCTCTTCCTCCGGGCCCCTAGAGCCAGTTCCTCAGGTGTGGCCGCAGGGAGACCTGTCAAAGCCTCCCCTGGGGCCGCTTCGTCTTGGCAGGGCTCCTGGGGTCTGCCCTCCATTGTTTGCGCATCCACCTTGTCAGTTTCCTGGGTGGTCCTCTCCCTGGAATCCTCTCCCTCACTAGTGCCAGATCCTTCCTCACCCACCACGATGGCGGGGATGGTGAGGGGGCTGGGGCATGGGCCCCGGGAGCACCGGGCTGCAGCAGCCAGGGCCTGCTGGCCAGCCTGTACCTCACGGTCCAGGAGGCCGGTAAGGCGTCGGGAGGTGCAGGGGCTCAGCAACAGGGTCTGTGCACTTTCCACCAAGTGATTGTTCTCCACGCGTTCTAGGATGCGCCTCGACGTCCTGGGACTCAGCCCAGCCACTTCCATGGTAGGGCCCAGGGTAGGGGAGGAAGCTAGGCCTCCAGAGGCAGCCACTTCCTGGGACTCTGCCCTGGCTTCATTTGTCTCTGGGCTGGATAGCTTGAGCAACAGAAGCAAGTAGTTCTTCAGGGAGTCTATGAGGCCAGGGTCACAGCTCCGGGCACCTGAGGACCTCCCCTCCACATTTGGCTCCTTGGCACAGGCTCCCTCACTGTTGGTAGCCATGGCTTCTGCGGGGTGACCCTGGGTGGGGGACCCTGGTGCCAGCTGCAGACTGGGAGCAGAACTCAGCACGTCCCGGCCCCCGGAGGGGAGGGGGTCTTCTGTGCTAACTTGCTGACAAGCCGTGGTGCCGGCCAGGCCAGTTCCGGGAAAAGAAGGCATGGCGGCCACCTCCTGACTCAAGCCAGCTGAGCGCCCACCGGGGAGAGCCACGTACTGTGTTTCCTCGGGCTGCTCGTTCTGGGGGCGCTGAGCCAGGCTGTCCTCTTGGTTGGCCTTGCCCAGACCTGACCACTCTGGCCTTTGATGTGTTTCTCTTCCCAGCTGCTCTGAGTTGCCCTCCGGAGGCAGCTGTACTGGACCCGTGTGGTTCCCTGACAGGGGGCCTAGTGCAGTGTCCTCAGACCTAAGCATGAAATCGGATTTTTCCTGGACACAAGATGCTTCCGGGTTCTTCTCAAAACACTCCATAACCTGAGGAGCTCTAAGGCATTCTGCCGGTGAGAGTCTGAGGGTCCCGGGTGGTGAGCTGAGGCTGGCCGCGGATGGCTGCCTTGACTGGGTTTTGGAAGCTGTGGGGACGCTGCCCACTGACTGCGCCTCCTTTTCTTCCTGCATCCTTGCATCTCTCAGGTCTTGCTGCAACCTCTCGTCTGCCTGTGTCTGTCCTACTACCTGGGTATCCGCCCTTCTCTCCGTCGCCAAGCCCTTCTGTGAACTCCTGTCTGAGTGCGGCCTCTCGCTTCCTCGCGTCCTAACGTCCATCTGTGCCTTCTCGTCTGCCTGTGCCCTCTGGGGAGCCTGAGCCTCGTCTCCCGGAGTCCTTCCGTCCACTTGCGGCTTTCCATCCGTCTGTGCTTTCCTCCTGCCTCCAGTTCTCCCACCAGCAAGAACCCTCCCATCCTCCTGAGTTTCCGTATCCATGGGCTCCATCGTGCCTTGCTTTCCAGAGGTGCTGTGATCCACAGGGATGGTCTCAGAGCTGCTGCTGCCAGACATGGCTTGGGACTCCAGAGCCTGAGAACACATGGCCAAAAGCAAAGCCTTAACTAATTGTATGTTGGGCTCTCTGCAGTACGTTATCCCTGCTTTCTCCGACCTCACTCAGAACTGCTCTGAAGGGAATCTTGCCACTGGGCTCTTTAGCCATGCTGAAGGTCTGGCAGAGACATCACACAGAATCCCAAAGCCTCATGTCCTGATCCCAGAAACCAGATTAAGAAATATCCAGAATCCAGGCTCATCTGGCCTCCTGCCCTCTCCCTTGAAGAAACATGCCCGTCTCCAAAGGCTCTGTTCATGACTGACCCTGCCTTCACCTCTGTCTCTTGGAGGATATTGTTCTTGCCCCAGGGCTCCTAGAACCTCCATTTGCCCCTCTCTCCTTCCCTCCCTCCCTCCGTTCCTCCCTTTCCTCCCCTTCCTTCCTTTCTACTTCCCCCCCTCGTCTTTCTTTATCCTTTCCTTTATTTCTTTTGTTCTTTCTTTTTTTATTTCTTCCTTTTCCCTTGAACTATTGATCCTCCTGCCTCAATTTCCCAAGTGCTGGGATTACAGGCAAAACCAACCATGCTGCTCTCTTACATAATAACTGACAGAATTATAAATTGAGAAGATGTAAAAATGTGTATTGATAATGGCCTCAACGATAGCACCTAGCATGCGGGAATGTGGGTGTCTTCCAAACAGAGATTCAGAGAACTCTGAATGGTGCCCGTGCCAGGAAGTCAATGACTCCCAACAACTGCTCCGCTAGAGCCCTGTGCTAGGTGGCCACACACTAGGGAGACTGCACTCTCACTGCTCTCTACAGTATGAACTAGCTCCACCCGAAAGACAACAGTGCTGGGCAGGATGGCTTCCAGGGTAAAAGCACTCATGCTCTCGTTTGATGACCCGAGTCGGATCACTGGTGCCTCTGTGATCGGCATTCCCACTGTAAGACAAGAGGCACACACAGAACAGAAACTCACAGGCCAGCAAGCCTGACATATACAGCAGGGCAGAAAAGGAGAATGACTCTGATTCAACAGGATAGAAGGCAAGGACCAACTCCCAAAAGCTGTCCTCTGACCTACACACACACACACACACACCAGGGGGAAGGGAGAGTGAAAAATAAAATAAAACGTAAAGCCAGGTGGTGGGTGGCACACACCTTTAACTCCAGCATTCAGGAGGCAGAGGCAGGTGGATCTCTATGAGTTCGAGGCCAGCCTGGGTCTACAAAGTTCCAGTATAGCCAGAGCTACACAGAGAAATCCCTGTCTCAGAGAACAAAACAAAACAAAATGTGTGTGTGTGTGTGTGTGTGTGAGAGAGAGAGAGAGAGAGAGAGAGAGAGAGACATAAAGATACAGTGGAAAGCACTAAATGCATTTATCTTATGTCAGCATGGAATCCCGGAACCAAGACTAGAGCCAAGTGGAATTTTCAGAGTGGACGATCAGAAGAGCAGAGGGACATGCCTGGACAGCACAGCGGCACAGCTGTTGTACACAAATGGAGCAGGAAGGTGGCAGGTGGAGAAAGTTCTCTGATGGTGTCACTCATGAGAGCAAGCCACGAGCCACGCTGGCGACCTAGCTGAAGTGGTAGAGTGCTCCCGGAGCATGGCGAGGGCCCCGGGTTCCGTGGCCAGCACTGTATAAACTAGATACGCTGAGGCCTGTAATTCTAGCTGTCAGGAGTCTGAGGCAGGAGGATCAAAAGTTCAGTTTATCCTCAGTCACAAACTTAGTTTAAGGCCAATCTGGAATACTTGAGACCCTGCCTCAAAACCAAACAGCCAGGCATGGTAGACAGGCCTTTAATTCTCCCACTGAGAAACAGAAGCAGGCAGCATTCTACTTCTTGAGTTCCAGCGAGAGCCACACAGGGAGACCTGGTCTGAAAATAAAAAGTGTGCGTATGTGCATGTGAGAGAGAGCAAGAAAGAAAGAGGGGGTGAGAGAGATTTAACCACACAAAGATTATCATTTAGAAATAAAACTTGTGGCTACATGAACACATTGCTCATCAAAAAGAAACAGAAGACAAATAATGGATATTCTTCCCTTGGAGGCCCTTCTACTCTTGGGAGTTCTGTCTCACTTCTTAATAAGTCCATGTTGCTCTGTTCTAAGAAAAACACTAAAGACTGGAGATACGATTCAGTGGTTAAGCGCACCTGTGGCTCTGCAGAGGACCGAAGTTTGGCTCCTGGAACCTACATGGGGTGACAGAAAACCGCCCGTAACAGCTCCAGGGGAATCAACACCTCTGGCCTCATGCACAAAAATAATTTTTAAAATCTTTTAAAACAAACAAAGCACACTAAACCAAGTGTGACGGTACATGCCTTTACTCCTAGCACTCTGGGGGCAGAGACAGATGTACTCCTATTTGTGGAGCAAGAAATCTATCAGCTGAGCTATTCCTGAGACACACAGCATATTTCTTTAGACAGTCATTCAAGCTGGGGCTGGAGAGATGGCTCGGGCACACATTTGCACATGTGGTACAAAACGGACATTTAAGCAAAACATACGTAAGATGAACCTATTTTTTGAAATATTCAGGGCCAACCTGGGTGGTGTCACGTAAGCGTCTATTACAAATACACTAGCGGGTTTTCCTTCCATCCATCTCATCCTCTTCCTTCCTGAACTCTCAGAGAGCAAGGGCCCACTCGTCTCTCCAGCCCTCTCTGCTGCAATCTTTTCTTCCTTGTGACTCTTTCTTTTTTTCATTATTTCCCATGGTCTCTTCACCTTCAGCGATCCTGTCCCCCTGTATTCCTCATGAGTCCACTTTGGACTGCTCTCTGAGGTTTTTTGAGTGTTTGTTTGTTTGTTTGTTTGTAATGAAAGTGCCTTCTTCTGTGATGAACAATACCCTGGCCCAGTTACACAAGCCATCACTTTTGTCATCACACAAGAAGGATTTCTTCCTCTCCGGAGTCTAGTCTCTATCCTACTCCTCTTCCTTCAGCCTTTTGGGGGTGGGGAGCGTTAGAGCTCTCTGGACTAGTATTCCCAGCAACAGTTCCTCTCTCTCCCATTAAAAAAGAAAATGTTCCTGGTCGTCTCCTAGCTTCCCGCAAGGCTGTGTATCCTTTAGATCGTGGTGAGCTTTAAACATTTTCATCATTTAAAATAACCAGGTGCTTTTATCCTGCGTTTTCATCACAAGCCAACCACCTTTGCCTGTAGTTTCTGTTTGCCACATGTGCAAAAACTCCAGACTTGTTCTGAGCACGCTGGCGTCAGAAACATCCAGCACGGCCTTACTGAGCCGATCGACAACGGCGTTTGTTTCTAGAAAGCCCAAAGATTCGAGGTGCTAGGTGTCACAGCACTGTCAACGGCACTCAACTTTCCAAATTTAACTTTCTTGTCTGAAAATGACGAGTGGAATTAAGCTGTCTTATATATGTATTTCTCTAAATTTCATCCAATGGCTTTAATGCCTGGATGAGCATTAGACTTTTTCTTCTTACTCCTCTTTTCTCCTCAGCGGGAAGACAGTGAGGCTGAAGAGGATGTGATAGAGTATGCTCTCCACGTGCTTGCTTTTACTTTTTATGTCATGCTCTCACAGCCCAAGATGGCCTTGAACTCTCTATGTAGACCAGGCAAGCTTTGAACTCACAGGGATCTGCCTGCCTACTGCTGGGCTTAAATATGTGCTTAAAGATGCTCAGCCAAGGTGTATTTTATTCAGAGGATGAAGATGTCAAAGGACATGGAGATTACAGGATAATCTGTAGGATTCAACTCCCTCCTTCCACCATGTGGGGCTTAAACTCAGGTTTACATTTCAAATAATTCTGTTCAATATTTTCCTCTAATAGTATATCACTGGCTACAAATCCATGACGCCAAACAAGGGTGGCCTCTCCTCAGATGCCTCTCCCATTGAGACTTGACATCATAGCACGCCGCCTCTGTCTCAGGCACACTGCAGTTATCATTCACCACAGCCTAGACCCCTTGATGCAGTAGGCAATCTCCCCACCTCCACCACCCCTCAGAAAACGCACTCATGCACACCCCAGAAGACACTGCCCCTATTGTGAATGGGAAGTCCCACCCTTGGGATGACCATTTATTTCCCAGGACCCAGATTTATCAATGGATAAGCTCAGAGGACAGGAGAGTTGGCTCCGCAGTTAAGAGCACTGGCTGCTCTTGCAGAGGACCCAGGTCCAGTCCACAGCACCCACAGGGCCTCTCACAACCACAGTAACCTCAATTCCAGGGGATCCTCAGGCAAAACACTCAGACATATAAATATAAAAAAAAAATATATATATATATATATATATTTTTTTTAATTTTTTTAAAGAGGAAGAGACATGTTCAGGTCTCAAAGCATTGGCTGAGGTCTCCCATACATGTACTCTTACCTGTGAAGGTCCAGGTATTTGGAAGAAGTAGTTAAAATGATCTTGCCATGGCATTAAAGATACAATCATGTGAAATGTTTTAAGTCATAGAGAAATGCTCATGAAATAGTGAGAAATTAAGAAGAAGGAGAAGAGGAGGAGGAGGAGGAGGAGCAAATTAGGGCCAGCAAGTTGGCTGAGCAGATAAAAGGGCCTGGTGTGCAAGTATGATGGCTTGAGTTCAATTTCTGGTTCCCATAGTGGGGGGACACAACCCGCTCCTGAAGTTGTTCTCCGTCCTCCACACGCACTGTGGTATGAACTACCCTACACAGACACACACACAATGGCAGTAGGGGTAGTAATAATAACAAATGGAAAAAAGAGCCGGAGAGAGATGGCTCAGGGATTAAAAATATTGCTTTTTTGTTTATTTTTTGCTGTTGGAGACAGGGTCTTTCTAAATAGCCCTGGTTGGCCTTCAACTCACAGAGATCCACCTGCTTCTGCCTCCCAAGCGGTGGGCTCGAAGGTGTGCACCACCGCGCCTCACAGACGCTGCTCTTGCAGAAGTCTGGATTCAAGTCTCAGAATGGTGGCTCACAACTGTCCATAACTCAGCTCAGGGACCCAATGCTTCATCCCTGGGGCCAAGCCAGCAGGAGACAACCACCTCCAGCAGGTTACCCTCTCATGCCTGCATATGCTTGGTCACACACACACACACACACACACACACACACACACACACAAATAATGAAAAACACATATATCTACATGTTAAATGTATTTTTTACGTGAATATTTAAATGTTTTAAAGTTTACAAAAGACACATACATAAAATAAAAGCCAGACAAGGTTCTGGCAGATGTAGAGCCAGAACTCAGCTTCTGAGGTGCCTTGTACTGTCCCCACCCAGGGGAGGGTGAGCTGGCACTTCTGCCCCAAGGCCTGCCTGGAGGATACAGCCACCTGGTTGTGAGATTCCTATGCCTAAGGGCAGAGAAGCCTGGAATACACACACATACACACACACACACTTGGCAGCTAGCCTGGTCACTTCCTAAATGAGTTCCCTTGGGGCCTCCAAGGGCCGTTTCTCTGGAAGGCTATTGTTCAGCCTGTGGCTGTCAGGGACACAGAATGTCCCTAGCAAGCTTTCCTGGGGCCACTGACGGGCTGACATCACCAGGAGCTGAAAACAAGGTAGGCAAAAGTGACCAACAGCTTTAGAATATGGCACGAGGTCTCCATGATTTGTCCCTCTGGTGCACAGCCTGACCTTAGCACTCACTGAAATAAAACCACAGCCCAGTCAGCCCTGAGCTCTTCTTCCTTCTTGAACGCTCTTTCTCCATGGGAAAGTCTATCTCTCTTATCCACCAAACATCCTCCTCCCGGCCTTGCCCTAAGCTGCTGAATTGATGGTCCCTGATGTGTTTCCCTTCACTGTTCCAACCATCTGTCCTGCCCACACACTGGTGAAACACTCCTTCCCACAGAAAGCCTCACTCGTGGGAGGGAGCCAGGACTCCGGCTTCTTCTACCCTGAGAAACGGTTTGGTTCCTGCCCAATTCAGAGCCTATCACCACTACATCTAGTAAAGAGAAATACAGGGCACAATAAAATCGGAAGTTCCGATAAACAGTAATGTAGTCTTCCTGTAAACCTGCTCCGTTTATCTGCTCCCACCCACGCTCACCAGAATACTGTCTTCCTTCTTTCTGCCCATAGGTGGAACACTTTAGTCCTGGGGGAATCTTCCTCACCTCGACGCCTGGAGCATGAAACCCTGTCATCCTCTCAATCCTGATCCTTAAGCTCCGTACCGCTGGCTCCCATCTGCCTCTGCCTGTGGGCAGGTGGATTCCCCTGTCTCACTTCCACATAAAACACCTTTTCCTCGGGGCTACCTGTTCCCTAGACATGACTGGCTCCTGTTCCCAGCTTCCCCCCTCTGCCACCATGGTTTACTTTATGCCACGACACTTCACATGCACCATGCCTGCTCGGCTCCCAGTTCTTGCAGTGGACGCTGGCGTGGGTGTGTGGGTATGAATTACCATTTTGGCTATTGCTTGCCCAAGATCTCACCTTGCTAAGGGTTGTCAGCCAACTACATAGGTATACCATATCCCAAAACCCTAAACGAAACCAGAGTAAACCAGTACTCCTTAGACATGCAGTCTTGAAGGTGCTGGGAGTAGTTTTGTTTTGTTTTGAAACAAGGTCTTGCTATGTACCCCGGGCTAGCCTTGACTCACGCTCTTCCTGCCTAAGCCTCCCAAGTGCTTGGATTAAAACACACAGTATTTTAAGCCTTTTGGTGAATGTCTCATACGATGCTACACACTCCAGAATGTCTTCCCCACGAACACCGTAGCTTCAGCATGGCTACAAAAAAAAAAAAAAAAAAAAAAAAAAAAAAAAAACAACCAAGCAAACAAAAACTCTCCACCGATCCCTCCTCCTCTGCCCAGAGAACAGTATCTTCCTCCTCTTCCCTCAGCCGGGAACTTCCCTACTCTCTCAGACAAAAAGAGACATAGCTCCGCTCTGCTGCCTGCATGCGTCTATCTGGAGTGTGGCCAAGCAAGGGCCGTGCCCATGGCCCCTTGCTCCTGGCTGACACTCCATTCCTTCCCCCACCCCATCTATTAATATCCCACCACTCACTAGCTGCCAAGCCGTTACAGCAAGAGTTTCCATGAGGTCAGTTTCCCAGAGCAGCCGCTAGGCCTTCAATGCCTACACTCACCTCTCCTGGAGTCTTGTGGCTTGCTTGCCCTTGCGAGGGGCTGTCTCGGGTGCTGTGTCTCCGTCGGGCAGGGGGTGTAGGGACCTGGGCAGAGGCTGGAGGTAGGGCCTTCCCTAAGGTCTGAGACACAGATTCCGGAGCCTGACTTGAGGGAGAGATGGTAACAGGCTCCACTTTGGGTTTAGGAGGAGCAAATCTCTTCCTGTTCAAAGGTTTGATGGGCGGGGGAACCATGGACGGTGCTGGCTTGCCGGGGATCGTGGGTACCTTCTCACCTCTAGCCTCGACAGGTACCTTCCCTGAGGGCCTTTCTCCAGGTACTCCGGTACTTGGAGGTGGAGGCATTTCCTCTCCCTGGGGCCTGCCCGCCTGGGTGCTCTCCATGTACATGTCCTTCAGGGAGAAATACACCTGTTCTGAGCTGTGGCTTGCGACAGGGGTGGGAGCCGGGGCCATGGCTGGGACAGGGGCTGGGACGGAGGCTGGGGCAGGGGCTGGGGTGTCCTGGACCTTGTCTTGAATGCCCACAACAGAGGCCGTCTTCCTGGTGCTTTCTACTCCAGAAGGCCCAGGCCCCCGCGCTAGCCTGCCTCTGGGCTGGGTCTGAGCTGGCTGCGCATCCATGGGCTTCTTCTTCTCTCTTCTGCTGGAACTGGCTTTGTCTGAACTGGGGACACCATTTTCTGAAGAGCACCGGCTACCATCTGCCTTTTCTAACTCTGGCTTCTGCCCACCCGGTTTGGATTCTTCGTCTTTCCTTTTCTTCTTAGCCCCAGACTCCTTGGGAGGGGTGTTGTGAGGCCCCAGCTCCATGACCTCGCAGATGTACGTCAGCAAGCCATGCTCTCCATCTTCCCCATTCTCTGGGGCAGGCTCCCCATTGGTGGGTGCCTCTCCAGGAGCAAAACTGTTGATCAGACCCAAACCTGGGTGCTGAGTAGACTCCGTCTCTCCTTCTTGCCAAGCCGCTGAGGACCCCTCCTCCATTTCCCCGACTGGAGCCGAGGGGACTGCCTCCTCGGCTCCGCTCAGTCGACGCTTTCTCTGGAAGCGGTCAGGGCTGATCTTGCGAAGGGTGTCAGCCTCCACTGATGCCTCCCTCCCATGCTTCCAGCTCTGCTCAATCTCCCGCATCTTGGCTGCAGCCTTGCGCTTCAACTTGGCGAACCAGCGCTGGTGAATCTTGTACTCAGTCATAGTGCCCACCTCTAGGACCCCCGAGCAGGACACGATGCCCTTGGTGTTCCGGGCAGAGGCCTGGTAGATGGCAGCATCTTCTTCCCGACACCTAGAGGTAGGAGCATGAGGCGCCATCTCTCCCCAGTGGGAGGTGAGAGCCCTCCTCCCCACAGCCAGAGTCTGGCATTGACCAAGGCTCCCTCCCAATCCATGTCCTGCCCTACCTTAGGCATCATGAGTTTCCTCAGTTAACAATAGAGGAAACTGAGGCCACAAGAGGGTGGCAGCTGACCAAGGTCATGCTGTCCTGGGAGGGATTAGACTTGGGGCTCAGAAGAGCTCCCTTCAGAAGCAGGTGACCAACACAGCCCCCGAGAGCAGCGATGATGACACCGTTGCTTTTTCTGGCCGCTGACCTCATGGAAAAGGTTTCTGTGGGTCAGGGCCTCCTCTGGTTGCACTCGCTCATGGCTGTCAGAAGCACTCCTACCCTGGCCTGGGGAGATCCCAGACCCTGGCAGCCAGCACAGCTCAAAAGGTAGGTCAGCTCAGGAGCAGAGCCCTGCCCTCTAACTTCAGAGCAAGCCTGGGCATTTCCACCCAGCTGACTCCGTATCTGATGGCAGGGCCCTCGGGGAGGGCAGGGGGCCACGCAGGCCCCTCTCCCTCACCTGTACAGCTGCAGGGTGTGACGGTTGCCCTGATGAGTGATCTCATATTTTGGCAAGCCACAGTAACGGTCCAATTCTATGTCATCCTTGTACCAGGTCACCTCTGGCTCTGGGTATCCTGGCGAGGAAGCAAGAGATTGAAGAATGGTAAGGTGAGGTCCAAAGCAGTGGGAGAGGCCACAGAGGCAGGGTTTCCACACTGCTCGAAGGGGCTGGACAGTGCCACCGCCCCAGGCCTTCCGGGAGGTACCATCCCTCTTGCTCAGCTCAGCTTCAGAAAGTAGGATCTGTCAGAGTGAAAAGCATTTTCCCTTCTGGCTGAAAAGAAGAAAACAAGGAGGAAGAGACTTCTTAGCTTTCCGGGGGGGGGGGGGGGGGGGGGGGGGGAATTACCAGCAACTGCTAACTGGGAATAATGAGCTTCCTTCTAGAGCGGCCCATTCAATATCCTCACGCGTAGAAAGGACTCCACCTCATAGAACTCCTCTCTCCAAACCCTGCCGCTACCATCCCTGCTGTGACCCTCCTTTCATTCCAAACCCCTAAACTGCACCCTTTGACAACACAACTAAAACAGCCAGCCAGCCAGCCAGCCAGCCAGCCACTCCCTGCCACCCCCAAGCAAGGTTTCTCTGTGTAGCCCTGGTTGTCCTGGAACTCACTCTGTAGATCAAGCTGAACTCACAGAGATCCACCGGCCTCTGCCTCCTGAGAGCTAGAATTAAAGGCGTACACCACCACCTGGCTATCCACTTTCTTCTGACCCGTTTACCCACCCATTCACAGCTACCTACCCAGTCACTGTAATAAAGCTAACTAAAGAAGCTACCAGTCCCTTCCTTGGGGATTCCCAGACTATTCATGTAGCCGAGCTCCTAGCTACACAGTCATGTGCCTCTTGCTTTCCTGGACACAGCTGATCGGCCGATTAACGTACACTGAGGCAGCTAATCTAATCCAGTCATTGTGTCCAGAAATGTAACTTTCATTTTTGTATGTCTGTGGGGTGTGCCTATGTGCACATATGTGTGTGGGGGCCAGAGGTCAATACTCTGTTGTTTTCCACATATGCACCAACACCCAAAATTTCCCAGCTTATTATTCTAGGTGGAATACGCTCTCGCTGGATCTGGAGCTCCCCTGAGATCCTGCCGTCTCTCCTCCCTTCACCTAGGTGGTTGCGTGGGCACTGAGAGCACCACGCTCAGGTCTTGATGCTTGGATGGCAAGCACTTGACTGACTGAGCCACTCCTCAGCACCTGGAAATATAAGTCTAAAGGGTGGGTGAGGAAGCTCTGTTCTGACACAGCCTAAAGGGTAGAGAATGCTCGTTGACAGTGAGGGACAGGGAAATAAACTGAGGGCGTCAGAGGGAAGCCGATATACTTCCAAATCCCGGTTCTAAACCTGGCATGGCGGTTCACACATGCAGATTCAAGCTAACCTTTGCTACAGAATGAGACACTACCCTGTCTCAAAGAAAAAATAAATAAAAAGGATCTTTTGTTTATTAGTTTATTCTTCTTATTATTAGCAGCAGCAGCAGTAGTATCATTATTGAGACAAGATCTTTCCATGTAGCCCTGGCTGTCCTGGAACTCTGTAGACCAGGCTGGCCTTGAACTTGTAGAAATCTGCCTGCTTCTGCCTCTGAGTGCTGGGGCAAAGGTACGTAAGCCCCACACGTAAGCCCCTGGAAGTCTTTTACAGAGCTCTTTCTCCCCATCTTCTGGCCCTACTCCTAATCCCTCTGCTACGGCAGGACTGTGCATCAAGGTCACCTGTGACTTGCACATTGCTAACTCACTGGTCACTTCTTAGGCCTCACTTCTCATTTCCTCGACTGGCTGGAGCCGATCTAGGAGCAGCAAGGACCCCTGCGGCTGCCCTCTCCAGCCCAGCCCTTACCCCTCATCTCCTGACCTGCACATTGACTTCATACCTGCACCTGAAGGCCTGACAGGAGGCAGGTATGCAAAACATCAGACTCCATATTCTTATCCCACGCAGATCCACACGCAGCCCAGTAGCTGGACGATCCATCGTCCCAGCGTTGTTCAGGCCAAAGCAGGAGTCATCTTTTTTCCTTTCTCCTCCTCATACCCACTCTGTCAGGCAGTCCTACAGAGGTTGCCTTACAGCCTTTGGAACAGATCCAGAATCTGACCACTTCCTGTCACAGCCTCGTCCCCAGCAACTTCATCTCCTGCTTGGACCCCTGGGAGACATTCCTCGCTGACCTCACGGCTTCTGTCCCGGCCTCTCTTCAACCCGTTGGAAGCAGAGTGAAGCTGACACATCGGTCTATGCATGTCCACATTCTCATCGTATCCCGGGGCTCCCATCTCTCACACACGGTCTGAACCCTATTGCTGCACCGGCCTTATCTCTTGTTCCCCTCCCCTCCGCATGCTGCCATGCCTCACGGTCTTGCGGACTCAGGAGGCCACACCTCAGCTCCTGGGCAGCGCTGCTTTCCCAACTAACTCCTCACAGAGGCCTCTGACATCCTTCGCAAGCCTGCAGCTCCCTCCCCTCAACTCTTCCTGTCCCTTTTTCCGTTTACCCCTTCCTAGAAAACACTGCCGTGTGACACGCTGGGCTGGTTACTTCGTGTACATCCTGTCCATCATGGAATACCAGCCCCATGACAGCAGGGGCTGACCCGTGTTCTGCACTGCTCCTGTCCCCAGTTCCTAGAATGATGCCTGGTATGCAACCCACAAGAAGTAAATATTTACCGATGGATCATCAACAGTAGGAAGAGCTTAGGATCCAGGGAAGGAAGCAGAGTCTTTGGCTGGGGATTTGGTAGAGACTTGGAGATTGTGCCACTTGATCTAGCAGAATTTCAGAAGGCACAGGTGCCCAGGGTCCAGCTCCTTGGCCAGCTCTCCTACCAGATTCTACGCCCAAGTGGGCAGAAATCACTCTTTGTCCACCGCTCCATCCCCACTACCTAAGACAGCACCTCCTTAATTGTCGTTACTTAGTAACAGCCTGTTGGGTGAGCCAGTAAAGGAGGAACAGAACAGTAGACAAACAAAAGGTGGGTAGGAAGGGCAAGCCTGGCACAGAAACCACAGCGGTGACAAATGAGGAAAAGCAAAGGGCAAGCCAGGGAACTGCTAACAGCAGCAGGGAGCAAGGGAGGCGAGCCTGCCGCTGGCTCAGCCAGGGACAAGCTGGGCTGGGCTGGCTGTAAACCGAGCCCTGTGTTTCCACTGTGCGCTAAAGCCCCTGGTTACATCACGGTGCACGTGGCCAGGGCCGGCACAGGTGCTCTCACCACCCTGTAGGATGATCTCACCCACCATGGAGCCTTCTGCCTCATGACCTGCCCAGGACACCCTCAGCCACTCCTGTCCAGAGGGGCTGGAGTGGGACAAAGGCACGGGGCAAAGAGGAGGACACGGAAGGGCTGGCACAGCTGTACCCCCACCTCCACAGGAACTTCTGATGATTCTGCCAACAGTGGAGACCAAGCTGACAGTTTGGGCCTCCATAGCAGGAGTGGCTCTGAAGACAAATTTGTTTGGGGAACATGCTGGTTATTCCCCAGATAATGTGAATGCATATATAATGTATAGACATTTTCTCTCTCTCTCTCTCTCTCTCTCTCTCTCTCTCTCTCTCTCTCTCACACACACACACACACACACACACACACACACACACACACACATTTCTTAAAGACTTTTTTTAAAAAAGGAAAATGAAAGCCAACCAGTGGTGGCTCACGCCTTTAATCCCAGCACTCTGGAGGCAGAGGCAGGAGGATCTTTTCGAGTTCAAGGCCAGCCTGGTCTACAGGGCAAGTTCCAGGACAGCCACAGCTACACAGAGAAACCGTGTCTTGAACCCCCCTCCCAAAAAAGGGGGGCTCACGGATTAAGACTGCTTCGGGAGTAAGCAGAAGGAGCCAAACTCAAAACCCTCTCTGCTCTAAAGTGGCAGGTGTAACTCCTACTTCATAAAGGGAAAAAACAAGCCCCACAGGAGCTAAGGGAACCACTACCCAGGGACGCATGGCTGGCATATAGCACAGCCAACTTCCTTTTTTCCAGCATTCTTTCCAATGAGAATTCTGTGGTCAATATATACAATTTTACTCCTAAGTTATCATATTAGACTTACTGCCCAAAAAGAAGAATTTCTTTTTTTTCTTTTCTTTTTTAAGAAATGTGGTTCTTACTACAGTTTAGGTTCCTGGCCTCAGCCTGCCTACCTTTAACGCTTCCTTCTTTTGTCTTCACATGTGAATATGGACATTTGTACACATACACACCCCAACATAGAATGTACCCCAGAGCTGAAGACAGTAGAGGAGGGAGGCCAACACACAGGGGAGAAATGAACAGTCTCGGGACAGTAGCATTCCAGCCGACAGAGGCCTGCAGAAGCCAGGCATCCGATTGCTCAGCCATAGGCCCGCTGTCTCCTAATCTCCCACCCACCACAAGCGAAAAGCAGCCTGTGGGTCTGTGTTCCTTCCCCAGCTCTGCAGAGCTTTCCCTCCCGATGCTCCCTGGTTGGGCTGAGTCTTCCTGCCAGGACAACGTTTCAACCAGCAGGAGAGCATCATCCTTGCCTGGCAAGGCCCCAGAGTCAGGGCTGACTCACCCCACCTTTGCTGGGGGAGGGGCTGCTCCTTGAAGGGAAGAAGAGAAACTGATGTGGTCACTCCACCTTCACTAAGACAGTCAGAAACAGCAGCAGCCTCGCACAGGGGCCAGTCCCATGCTCACACACATATCACACACACATACACACACAATCACACATATGCACACACATACACAGAATAATAATAAGAATAATTTTTTTTTGTTTTGTTTTGTTTTTTGAGACAAGGTTTCTTTGTGTCACCATGGCTGTCCTAGAACTCGCTCTGTAGACCATGCTGGCCTTGAACTCAGAGATCCACCTGCCTCTGCCTCCTGAGTGCTGGGTTTAAAGGCGAGTGCCACCAACCACCTGGCATAATAATAATTCTTTAATTGCTTCTTTGGGTTAAGCTTGAGTTGGGAAAAGGCTTATTCTCACAAGGAGATCGGGAGCATTTAATAAAATGCCCCAAGATTCTGTACACCAGACTGGTGTGTGGCAAGGTCACTTTGTTTCTGAGAAGCTATGACACCCAGTGGCTGCTCTTCCTGAGGATACTCATGCAGGTCCCCATAAGAGATACCAAGCCGGAGCTGAATGAGCCAAGGGGAAAAGATGTGAATTTTGCCATTGACGTGGGCTGGCATCACGGAGGTCATGTGGCAAGTGAGTTCTGTGGCAGGTCTAGAGAGGCACCAACAAGTCCCATGTGTACCCTGTCCTTGCAGATCTCACAATCCTGGAGAAAGAAATATGTGGAAAATATAACTGTGCCATGGAGGAAGGAGTCGCAACTCTCCTGGAGGCCCGGAGGACGGCCTCAGGGCAGGCCTTGGAGCAGAAGGAACTGGCCAGGCAAAGCAGCAGCAGCCTTTAGGAGACAGAATGAACATGCAAAGGAGTACACACACACACACATACACATACACACACACACACACACACACACAAGGAGAACAAGCAAGAAGAGAGATGGCAACCACAAAACTTTGTAAACAGGAAGCAGCCAGGCAAGCAGAAAGTGACAGCACACTCAAGAGAGCCAAGCCTGAGCTAGAAGTGGCAGAAACTGAGAACTAGCCCAAAAAAGTCCCCAGAGGGCACAGGACTGGTGTCTAGGGGTAGAGGCCGAAGGGAGTTTAAAACATCTTTAAAGAAAGAATGCTGGTGCATGTACACTTGTAATCCCAGCGCTCAGAAGGCTGAGGCAAGAAGATCTCCATTTGAGACCATCCTCGGCTAAATATTAAGACACTATCCTAAAACAAAACCAACCAACCAAACACTTGCTGAGTGCAGTGGTGCCCGCCGTTAATCCCAGCGCTGGGGAGGCAGCGAGGGGCAGCTCTCTGTGAACTCAGGACCCACCTGGTCTACAGAGCATTCCAGGGCAGCTGAGGTACACAGTAAGATCCCCCCTCAAAAAGCAGCAACAGCAACAAACCAGATAGGACAGCTCATGCCTACAATCCCAGATGGTGGGAAGAGAAAACTGCTGTATTTTGATATATATCTTTTAGTGTAATTTGAAACCTTAAACTATGTACAGGTGTTACTTTACCAAAATAAATTTTATTTTTCTTGCAGAGAGGGTTTTATGTATCCCAAGATGGCTTTAAACTGGCTGTGTCATCAAGGATGACCTTGAACTCTTGATCCTCCTGCTTCTACCTGCAGAGTGCCAGGACCACAGGAATGCTTGTGTAAACCACAGGTTCATACAGTGCTGAAGGAGCAGCCTCATACACACTAGGCAAGCACTCTACCAACTGAAGTACATCCCCAGCTCCTGATTTTCTTCAAAGATAAGTAAAAACATTCTACGTGAAGTGGCATATGGGAAAGTATGGAATAAAGTTATTTTTTTTTAGGAAACCATTGGTGCTGCAGTGCCAGAGACTCAGCCGGAGGCAGAGCCTCAGAGACTCAGCCACAGGCAGTGAATAAGGCAAAAGCAACGAGGTACTCATGCCCCGGGTGGCTTCTTGCTTCCTCCTCTGCAAAGCTGGACTAACAATATCACTCACTTCACAGGGGTTTGGAAGAACCGAGCTGCAACACACCGAGCCATACAAAGATAAAGGATTCAGGGAGACAGTGACCCTCTAGCAGATGTGCTGGAGTCCTGGGAATCGGGACAACTGCCCATAGAAAAGACAATCCCAAAGACGCTATTTAGCTGCCTAAATAGCTAAACAAGTCGTC